TATAGAAGGTGCAGAGGAGATTCACGAGGATGTTGCCTGGGCTGGAGTGTTTCAGCCATGATGAGAGAGTTGAATGGTAGGGCAGGTGGGGAGCAGCATTCCCTCTGAGCCGCATGCTCGTCCAGCCACTTTGAAGTTTCTGCAAATTGGCATGCTGACACATTGCAGGCTGGTTTCTGGAAACCATGCTGTGGATGGACCTCATAGAAAACTTAGAAGGAGTACTATGCTGGAGTTGTTTGCCTTAGAGGGGAGATTTGATTGAGGTGATTAAAAAAAAACAAACAAAAAGCGATGTTTCAGTGCATAAAGCCATAAAGAGAGAGGAAATAAAAACAGAATACAAATAAAGAAGGTCTGCATATAGTAAAATGCTAACTGAGAAGCAATAAGTTAAAGTGTTGCCTGAAAAGAGCCGTAGCAGTGACACAGAGTACTTGAAGAGACTGGGCACAGTTTAGGTAATCAAATCAACTTTTCTGATAATTGGAAACAAAATAACTGGAAGTCTTCTAAGATCACTCATGTTCCACTAAAGGCCTCCTCCACTGAGCATTGTTGTCACTTTTGAAAAATGGATAAACTGCCAGACCCAGAGGAAATATATCTCAGGCTGTTGAGAAAAGCAAGGCAATGCCACGAGAGGACAAAAAGGCTGTGAGTTTTGTGCCAATCTGTCAAAAAGGGTCAGGTAATTGAAATAACTCCACAGAGGCCAGTATCTTGTCACCAAGTCATCCTTTATTTACACTTGAACAATCCTTGACTATATCATTGCCTCAAACAGAGTCAGGTACTAGAATGTCTGTGTCTCTGACAGTCCTGTTTTAATCTGTCAGCCAGGGCTCCCTGATTGGACCAGATTAACAGTCCTAATCAGGGAGCTCAAATTCTATGAGGTCCAGCTTGTTAACCTCATTACACCCACTACAACCCTCCTCCTCTGAGTTTGCAGAAAACAGCTGGTCATTTTTCTTGGCGATCTTCCTGGGGTATTTTAGCATCGTGTTCAGTTCCTCCAACTTGGTGTCTGATTACGGGAGGTGTGTAACGCGTGGGAGCCAGCCTCTTGTGCCAGGAGCCCCTCGGTAGAATTTCATTCCCTTTTCTTAGCAGTTAAGGTGGCAGGGTGGCTACTTCCATCATGTCTATCTCTGGCTCACAGGATTCAACAACACTTGACAAAGAGGGTGAATCCACAGCAGCATTTCCGAAGATTATGAGGGACAGTGTACGTTTTGCTTCCACAATGTTGCAAATATGTGGCTTTCCTATAGTCCACTTGCTTGTTCAGGACTGTCGCACCTTTCCAAACTTTATGCGTCTCTGGTCCTGACCTCGCATTGACCATGCCTCTTAATCATGTGGGGCTACTTCCATGATTCTTTCACCAAGGTCTGTCCCCTGTATCATACTGTCTCTCTCACTTGGCTGAGTCTTGTGTCTGGCACTGAAGTTCTTGATTCAGTTTCTCCCTCCCCACCCCCTGGGTCTGGGAAGATCAGACTTAACCTAATGTACAGTCTTCTACCCATCAGCAACTCTCGCGGTTTTATCCCCATAGTTTCTGCAAGGCCATTGGATGATGGGTGGCATGCAGCTGTCCTTGTATGTCGAATATCATTTGACTTTAAGAAATATCCAAATTCCCTGATGGTAAACGATGACCCATTATCCCTGGCCAATACTTCTAAGGCTCCATGTGTTGTAAAAGATACGCACAGTTTTTCTACTGTCATCCCAATATTTGGTGCCCAAGCAATGTGGCTAAATCTGCACCTAAGCCTGGCCACCAGACATAACTTCTCGCCAATATCTTCATTTTGGAGACGATTGGATGGAGTTCAGCCGGTATTTGATGGTAACCTTTGCTCAGGGCAATCACTCTTGCTCTCTTTAATAATATACCATCCCCTACTGTGATCTGGTCTGTTTGGGTCCAAAAAGGTTACATCTCTAGTTGTGATGGCTGTTTGGTTTCCCCCATTAATACCAGTTGTTTCAATTTGGAAAGGATTGGATCCTTCTGTGTCCAAAGTCTGATATTGTCAACCTTAACCGGAATCGTGTCCAGAAAATGTAACATCATTACAGACTCTTTAATTGCGGGTAGCACTGGCGGTGCATCTGCTAATTGGAGGCAGCTCAGTGCACCAGCATTCACAACTCAGCATCTTGGACAGTGCTCTAACTTATAATTTTTAACACTTAGTATTAGAACCCACTGCTAAATATGGCCCGAAGCAATTGGGCAGCACTGCCTGGTCCTCTTTAAGCATATCAAGAAAAGGTTTGTGATATGAGATTGTCACAAATTTTTGTCCGTAAAGGTATTGGTGGCACTTCCTAACTCCAAATATGACTGCCAATCCTCCTTTTCTTTTCGGATGTTTTTACATCCTGTATTAGCCAAAGTCCTGGATGCATAAGCTGTTGGCTGACCTGGAGTCTCTCTCATCAGGATATGTCCTGAGTGAGGCTATGCAATTGTCTATACTCAAATGGCATTCCTTAAGGTCAGTCAAACTGGCAAAGGTGTTCACTTCCACTGGAATACATTGCAATTCATATGTTCCACCTGCCACATTTTCCAATAATAAAACCAGTTGCAGCGCTTGTTTGAAGTCCAGTTGGGCTTTGGCTGGTGGGCATTTTGCATAGTTACATCATTAATCCTGCATACCAGATGGTCTCTAACCATCTCATTAAGGGTTAAACCAAATTCTGCCAGTCATCTTAATCGAGTCAACAATCCTGATATGGATTCCCCTGGTTCTCGAATTGCCGAGTAAATGTGATAGTGACACAAAATTAGAGGAGGTTGTGATTGTAATATTCCTTAATATGTCCACCAATTTTGGAAAGGTTTTAGTAGCTAGTGCCTCAGGGTGAGTTAAGTCTCTAAAGAGAGAAAAAGCTGCAGCTCCACAAGCTGTCAGGAGAATTACTCATCGTTTTTCATCTGCCATAGTGTCGTTTGCCCAGAAAAAATAACATATTCTTTCCACATACTGGGCCTTGTGCTCGACAGCAGCATTGAATGAGTCAAGCTTCTCAAACAAAGCCATGATGAAAGAAATGCTAACCCCAATTCAAAGCTAATTGTTGTGAGTGAGTTTCTTCAGGATCCTGCTTTACTCTTGTTGGCACTAAAGTAACACCACAGAAGTCAGTATCTCATCACCAACTCACACGACATTTATACATAAACAGCCCTTGACTATACAGAATCCTCATACAGAATCAGGTACCAGAATGTCAGTATTTCTAACGCTCAAACTTTTCATGCCAGCCAGGGCTCCCTGATTGGTTCAGATTAGCAGCCCCAATTCACATTCTATGAGATCCAGCTGGTTGACCTCATTATAAGCACTAAATTAGTAGGACAATTGGTTATGAACCAAACATCTCAACCTAGGTGATGGTCAATTGATTTTATTCGGAAAATTTCTAAGGATAGTATCATTTTCATTTAGAATGGCACAGATTAATTAAAGACAGTCAACATGTTAAGGGAAGCTTGTGTCTGACTAACTTGAATTATCATAGAATTGTAGAATGGCTGCTGCACAGACCAAAGCCATTTGGCTCATTGAACTCCTGCTGGGTCTCAAGAACCCCACCCCATAATGTCCAACGCATCCATGGAACTGAACGCCTTCATTTCCGGAACCAATTCTCCTTCTCCACTTCACTTTGCTCAAGAGACCTGTTACAAAACTATGTGTTTGGTAGAACGCACAAAAATAACGTTTCACTGTTTGCTCACAGTTAAAGAATTGTGCCACTTGACTGGGCACGATTAAAAACAACTTCTTGCCTAATATCATAAATATTAATAATGTGACTCTTACGGGAAAGACCTGTCTGTTTAAGTGCTAACTGGCTCTTTTGAGCAATCAAATTAAATTTATGACTGACAACCGCTGAGTTTGATGGATGTATATTCCCCATTATGACTGATGATCCTTTTACAAATTATTTTAAATGAAGGAAAATCAGGTGGTTTTTTAAAAGGCATATGTTCCATCACAAAACTGCCTTGAAAACTTAGCCCGCCTCCTCTGCTGCCTCAGCTTATTTGCTGTTGAAACCATCGTCCATGTATGTGCCATCTCTGGACTCGAACATTCCCTTGCCTTCCTGGCCAGCCTCCCATATTCCGTTACATTTAAACTGGAGCATATCCAAAATTCTGCTGTCATTTAAAGACTTTAATCAAATCCTGTGCACCCATTAACACCATGCTCACTTATGTTGGCTCCTGGTCCATCAATGTCTCAATTTTAAAATACTCAATCCTACAGTTAGCTCCCTCACCCCTCCCTTTGTAACTGCCTTCAATCCTACAACCCTTCACGAACACTGCTTTGTTCCAATACAAATAAACCGTTGTGAATCCTCCAGTTCACTTGATCCACCATTATCAGTCACATCTTCAGCTGCCCAAACCTTTAAGGTATTAAATCTAGTCCCCTTCCTACCATCCTTACATCTTGTAGAAGTGTAGTCACTGTTGTAATGTCACCAATACAGCAACCATTTTATACAAAACAAGCTCCCACAGCCAGCAATGAGGTAATGGCCAGATGATCCATTCTAATAATATTGCTTGAGAGATAAATATTAGCCAGGGCACTAAAGAAGACCTTCCCTACCCTTCTTCAAAATGTGATCTTTCACATTCACAATTCAATATTTCAACCAAAAAAAGCCATCTTTCCTGGTATACTCCGATAGAATAAGGGTTAATATCACCCTAATGCCCAAGGTCAGAGAGTGGGATTTTAAGCCACAACCTTCTAATACCCAAGTGAGATGGCTAACAGCTGGAACCACATTTATACTCTTCACTTTATCAAATGCATGCCTGCTTGGTGCTTCAAGTCTTTCTATCCTGTTTTATTAAAGGACAGAGTGCATAAATCTCTTGAAGGTTCAATGTTTAATCCCAATTTTCCACAGTTTTATTCACAGAATGAACATATTGCCATTCTTACCATAATATGTATCTGAGGTTTATGTCTCTTTGCCAGGTCAATGATATTCACTCCGTTGTAATAGAGATTTTCAATGCAGCCATGAAAATTCTTCCTCCGAAAATTCACTGATTTGCCTGGAACAGGAATTCCTCCAAAACTGAGCTTTGGTAGCAAAAAAAAAATGATAAAAATAATGATTAGTACAGCATTTCTTTAAAAGGTCAGATAATAACAATAGGGGCACAGGACATTGCAAAGGCTACAGGTGCTGAAAATATTCTTGCAATAGACTTCAAGATACGTGCTCCTGAATTTGCCATACCCTTAGCAAATTTGTTCCAAAACAGCTACACAATTGGTGTGCACTGACAATGTGAAAAACTGCTTATGTCACACAAAAAGCAGGACAAATACCTCTTGATCATCATCAAGTAATGGAAGGGGTCAGTGACAGTGCTAGCAAACGACACTTTCTAAGGAATAACTTGTTCACTCACACTTATTTGGGGTTCTGCCATGGCCACTTGGGTCTTAGTCTTATTATAACTTTGGTCCTAACATTTAATTTGGGATTATTTTCAGCATGGACTGGTTAGACTGAAGGGTCTGTTTCCATGCTGTATGACTATGAGCAGAGAATTGAAATCTGGAGGAGAATTATGATATTGAGGAGTTCAAGTAAAACTTGAAATTGGGATCAAAACTGTTTGCTAGTTGGAGTGATACCCAACACAAAGAAAGATACTTGAGGACCTTGGTGGTAAATTTTCTCAGCCACAGGACATCTTTGCAGGATCTCCACAGGGTAGTGTCCGAGGTCCAACCATCTACTGTTGCTTTATTAATAGATCATCCTCCATCATAAATTCAGAAATGGGAATGTTTGCTGATGATTGCACAATGTTCAGCACCATTTACTACTACTCAGATCTGAAATAGTCCGTGTGAAGATGTGGGCAACATCTAGGCTTGGCCTGATAAATGACAAGTAACATTTGCACCAGACATTACATTTTAATATGGAAGAAAAATTTCAAGTGATAAACTGATCATTGTCATTAACTAGAAAGAGTAAATTTAGAATCAAGCCTAAACAAAAAGTTTAACAAAGACCTAGAGCAGGTCAAAAAAATTGGAAAGAGCATAAAAAAAAGACTAAAAGTTTTAAAAACAAGTTCACATTAGATTGTAAAAGAAAGCTTGCCATAAATATAAAAACAGACAGTAAGATCCTAAAACTGTAAGATGTAAGAGCAGAAGTATGCACTTTGGTCCATCATGTCTGCTCTGCCATTCAATGAGATCAGGATGGTCTGGTTATATTCAATTCCTCCATTCGTTTACAGGGACACTTTGCATGCAGAGACAGACACTCAATTCATGGAATGGACGAGACTGCTCCTGAAGGCAACCTGCTTGCTTTCTTAGCACTCACCCACTTACATGAATGTACCATAAATGCTTTGCCTTGCCATGCCATGCTGTGCCTCTTAGCACATGGCTGCTTAAGCCAGAAGCAAAGGCTTACATTACTGTTGCTGCTTTGAGGTGCCCTTCCACACACACACACACACACACACACACACACACAAACACACAGCTTGTTTTGCTTGTCAGTGTTCAATGGTCAGCTCTGTATGGTGGGGGAGTGGAACAACATTGAAGGCGTAGAACATAGAACATAGAACATTACAGCGCAGTACAGGCCCTTCGGCCCTTGATGTTGCGCTGACCTGTGAAACCAATCTGAAGCCCATCTAACCTAAACTATTCCATTATCATCCATATGTTTATCCAATGACCATTTAAATGCCCTTAAAGTTGGCGAGTCTAATACTTTTGCAGGCAGGGCATTCCACGCCCTTACTACTCTCTGAGTAAAGAACCTACCTCTGACATCTGTCCTACATCTATCACCCCTCAATTTAAAGCTATGTCCCCTCGTGCTAGCCATCACCATCCGAGGAAAAAGGCTCCCACTGTCCACCCTATCTAATCCTCTGATCATCTTGTATATCTCTATCAAGTCACCTCTTAACCTTCTTCTCTCTAACGAAAACAGCCTCAAGACCCTCAGCCTTTCCTCATAAGACCTTCTCTCCATACCAGGCAACATCCTGGTAAATCTCCTCTGCACCCTTTCCAATGCTTCCACATCCTTCCTATAATGCGGTGACCAGAACTGTACACAATACTCCAAGTGCGGCCGCACCAGAATGTTGTATAGTTGCAACATGACCTCATGGCTCTGAAACTCAATCCCTCTACCAATAAAACCTAACACACCGTACGCCTTCTTAACAACGCTATCAATCTGGGTGGCAACTTTCAGGGATCTATGCACATGGACACCGAGATCTTTCTGCTCATCCACACTACCAAGAATCTTACCATTAGCCCAGTACTCTGTATTCCTGTTACTCCTTCCAAAGTGAATCACCTCACACTTTTCCGCACTAAACTCCATTCGCCACCTCTCAGCCCAGCTCTGCAGCTTATCTATGTCCCTCTGTAACCTGCAACATCCTTCCGCACTATCCACAACTCCACCAACTTTGGTGTCATCCGCAAATTTACTAACCCATCCTTCTACGCCCTCATCCAGGGCATTTATAAAAATGACAAATAGCAGTGGCCCCAAAACAGATCCTTGAGGTACACCACTAGTAACTGAACTCCAGGATGAACATTTCCCATCAACCATCATCCTTTGTCTTCTTACAGCTAGCCAATTTCTGATCCAGACCGCTAAATCACCGTCAATCCCATGCCTCCGTATTTTCTGCAATAGTCTACCATGGGGAACCTTATCAAACGCTTTACTGAAATTCATATACACCACATCAACCGCTTTACCCTCATCCACCTGTTTGATCACCTTCTCAAAGAACTCAATAAGGTTTGTGAGGCACGACCTACCCTTCACAAAACCGTGTTGACTATTCCTAATCAAATTATTCTTTTCCAGATGATTATAAATCCGATCTCTTATAATCCTTTCCAACACTTTACCCACAACCGAAGTAAGGCTCACTGGTCTATAATTACCAGGGTTGTCTCTACTCCCCTTCTTGAACAAGGGGACAACATTTGCTATGCTCCAATCTTCTGGCACTATTCCGACAGACAATGATGACATAAAGATCAAAGCCAAAGGCTCTGCAATCTCCTCTCTAGCTTCCCAGAGAATCCTAGGATAAATCCCATCCGGCCCAGGGGACTTATCTATTTTCACACTTTCCAGAATTGTTAACACCTCCTCCTTATGAACCTCAATCCCGTCTAGTCTAATAGCCTGTATCTCAGTATTCTCCTCGACAACATTGTCTTGTTCCTGTGTGAATACTGACGAAAAATATTCATTTAGCGCCTCTCCTATCTCTTCGGGCTCCATGCACAACTTCCCACTACCGTCTTTAACTGGCCCTAATCTTACTCCAGTCATTCTTTTATTCCTGACATACCTATAAAAAGCTTTAGGGTTTTCCTTGATCCTACCAGCTAAAGACTTCTCGTGTCCCCTCCTGGCTCTTCTTAGCTCTCTCTTTAGGTCCTTCCTGGCTAACTTGTAACCCTCAAGCGCCCTAACTGAGCCTTCACGCCTCATCCCTACATAAGCCTCCTTCTTCCTCTTGACAAGAGATTCAACTTCTTTAGTAAACCACGGTTCCCTCGCTCCACCACTTCCTCCCTGCCTGACAGGTACATACTTCTCAAGGACACGCAGTAGCTGTTCCTTGAACAAGCTCCACATTTCAATTGTGCCCAGCCCCTGCAGTTTCCTTCTCCATCCTATGCATTCTAAATCTTGCCTAATCGCCTCATAATTGCCTTTCCCCCAGCTATAACTCTTACCCTGCGGTATATACCTATCCCTTTCCATCGCTAAAGTAAACATAACCGAATTGTGGTCACTATCGCCAAAGTGCTCACCTACTTCCAAATCTAACGCCTGGCCTGGTTCATTACCCAGTACCAAATCCAATGTGGCCTCGCCTCTTGTTGGCCTATCTACATACTGTGTCAGGAAACCCTCCTTCACACATTGGACAAAAACTGACCCATCTAAAGTACTCGAACTATAGCGTTTCCAGTCAATATTTGAAAAGCTAAAGTCCCCCATAACAACTACCCTGTTACTTTCGCTCCTATCCAGGATCATCTTTGCAATCCTTTCCTCTACATCTCTGGAACTTTTCAGAGGCCTATAGAAAACTCCCAACAGGGTGACCTCTCCATTCCTGTTTCTAACCTCAGCCCATACTACCTCAGTAGTCGAGTCCTCATCAAACGTCCTTTCTGCCACCGTAATACTGTCCTTGACTAACAATGCCACACCTCCCCCTCTTTTACCACCTTCCCTGATCTTACTGAAACATCTAAACCCCGGAACCTGCAACAACCATTCCTGTCCCTGCTCTATCCATGTCTCCGAAATGGCCACAACATTGAAGTCCCAGGTACCAACCCATGCTGCAAGTTCACCCACCTTATTCCGGATGCTCCTGGCATTGAAGTAGACACACTTCAAACCACCTTCCTGCCTGCTGGTACACTCCTGCGACCTTGAAACCTTATTTATGACCTCACTACTCTCAACCTCCTGTACACTGGAACTACAATTCAGGTTCCCATCCCCCTGCTGAATTAGTTTAAACCCTCCTGAAGAGCATTAGCAAATTTCCCCCCCAGGTTATTGGTACACCTCTGGTTCAGGTGTAGACCATCCCGTTTGTAGAGGTCCCACCTACCCCAGAATGAGCCCCAATTATCCAGGTATCTGAATCCCTTCCTCCTGCACCATCCCTGTAGCCACGTGTTCAACTGCTGTCTCTCCCTATTCCTCGCCTCGCTAGCACGTGGCACGGGTAACAAACCAGAGATAACAACTCTGTTTGTTCTAGCTCTAAGCTTCCACCCAACTCCTTGAATTTCTGCCTTACGTCCCCATCCCTTTTCCTACCCATGTCATTGGTGCCTATGTGGACCACGACTTGGGGCTGCTCCCCCTCCCCCTTAAGGATCTCGAAAACACGATCCGAGACATCACGGACCCTGGCACCTGGGAGGCAACACACCAACCGCGAGTCTCTCTCGTTCCCACAGAATCTCCTATCTGTCCCCCTAACTATGGAGTCCCCAATGACTAATGATCTCCTCCTCTCCCCTCTTCCCTTCTGAGCAACAGGGACAGACTCTGTGTCAGAGATTTGTACCCCATGGCTTACCCCTGGTAAGTCGTCCCCCCCAACAGTATCCAAAACGGTATACTTGTTTTTGAGGGGAATGGCCACAGGGGATCCCTGCACTGTCTGCCTGTTCCCTTTCTGTCCCCTGATTGTAACCCATCTACCTTTTTCTTGTACCTGAGGTGTGACTACCTCCCTGTAACTCCTCTCAATTACCCCCTCAGCCTCCCGAATGATCCGAAGTTCATCCAGCTCCAGCTCCAGTTCCCTAACGCGGTTTCCGAGAAGCTGGAGTTGGGTGCACTTCCCGCAGATGAAGTCAGTGAGGACACTAGTGGTGGCCCTTACCTCCCACATTCTACAGGAGGAGCATGGAACTGCCTTAACATCCATTCCCACTGTTCTGAATTCCCAAACAGACTATTGAAGAAAAAAACTAGTAACCTTACCAAATCGGCGCTCAGAACCTTTTTTTTTTGGTTAGAGGAGGAGAATGGGTGGGAGATACTACCTAAGTAGTGTTTCGGGTAAAGCAACCGCCCAAATATATTACCTCACTTACTCAGCAGTCTCGTGTCCGGTCCTGCTCAGCGTGCGCTCCACCTATTCACGAGGTAAGTTTTTAAAGGATTAACTTACCTTCCCAGGGTGCCCTCATGCTTCCTCCTGGACTCCCGCCGCTGAAACAACTGAAATTGTAGGCTACAGGCTGGTGGACGGGGAGGCATTGTGTTTTATCAACCGTGATCACCACTGTTGCCTCTGGGGATGAGGATGGGCATTAGCAAGGTGTAATCTCGATAGTCAGGGGCAGGGAAGGCAACTTTTTAAAGTCCAAGATGGTGGATCACAATACCGGGGACTTGATGGAAATGGGCTGTCAGCAGTAGAGCAAGGTAAAAGGGGACATGTGGATTTGGTTAAGGAGGGTGGTTTGGGGGGTGGGGGGTGGGGGGCGTGGCACTGGTGGTTGAGGGAAGAGTGTTACCTGGCAGCCAGCTGGGTTTGGTCCTGATTGCATCCAGCATGAGCTGCATTCCTGGCCAGTCCTGACCCTACTGTAGATGTGAAAGGCTACTCAAAAATGGCTGGAACAACACTCAGGATGGGTGAAGCAAGTGTCCATTTGAGGGTTGAAAACACAGTATCCACATTCAATGGATATCACGGCATTGTGATGATACAAACATGAAGCAGCCATTTGTGAAGTGAAGGTACATTGAGTTTGCAATCATTGCATTGCCTATTTGCTATACTTGCAGAGTGAGGGCGCTTTACCAGTTAGATACTGATCAAAAGTGATTTGCTACACTGCCATTGGTGATTGCAAGTTGCACTTGGGCATCTCAATAATATTGAAGTTACCTACAATGATGGTACAAAAGGCCACTTCTGGCTGAAGGGGCATCACTATTCAGCTAATGCATTATGTGTGCCACACAATTTCGAGTCCTCACCTGTCATGTGTTGGTCTGTGCTGAAGATAGTGTTAAGTTTAAAGTTCTTGATATGGGTCTCGAATTGAAAGGGTGATATAGAGCTTCCAGCATGTCTCAGCCTGGTGAAGTGTGCTCAGCCCTCATCTGCAGGACTCTGAAGTCTGAGAAAATATTTTGCTCCATCGGTGCCCAATTTGAGTCCTTTCTACTGAGAGTGACAGGCCCTGCGGTTGGCTGTTGTGGCTGCCTACCTAAGAAGACAAAGATGGATGCAGGAGGAGATTAGCTGACAGTAAGCAGCAGATCCCCATGGAGGACAAGGAGCAACAAGCTCCTATCCGTATTCATGCATGAATAATCAGACCAGCACGCACCAAAAGCATAGTCTAGTAAACTCTCCTGTGTTTGAGATAGGAAGGATAAACATGGGCATCTGGAATCTCCTTTTTTGACTTATACTGGATCTCTTGAGAATTGGGATAAAAGTGAATCTGGTGAGGGTGGCACACAGAGGCTTCAAGAATGAGGTAAATTGAATTGAAGCCACCCCAGGATGTGAGATAATGCATCAACAGATCCTATAATCCTACAAGTAGGATTTGTTAGATTTCCAATTATACTAAACAAGTGTGGCAGAATTCTCAATTAGGAAATATTGACCTGTTTTTTTTTGTTGTGCTCCCTGACTGCCAAAGCTTATTTTCAATTGTGCATGTTAACTAATTGTAATTATGTATGTTGAACTAAAACTAATTAGTTTAGAACTATCCGAAAAGAATAAATTCTGTATTATGTCCTATTTTTCACAATTTCAGCAGCATTATTTTGCTGTAAGTGCCAGTTTGACAATGGGACCACATGAGATAGACATATGCAGAGAACAGGTCCAAGTTATAGCTTCAGGCTGAAGTCATCCAGAGGTCAGAGAAATTTAAATGATCTGTTATTCATTGTTAGAATATCAAGAGAATTTTCAATCGCAATGGTTGGCCAATTCCATTGTCTCTCTTTTACTGTGAGAAAGCTTTTCAATGAGATTTAAAATAATATTTTTAATTTAAAATGTAATATCACAATTACGATAAAGCTAATAGGGCAGACAATTCCTCCAGGTGACATAACTTACTTCCATAAATCAAATTCACCATACTCGTTATTCAAGCTATACTGATGTGAAAGGAAAACCACTTGACATGTAACAAATGGTATAGGACACATTGTCTGTATTTGAACAACAAAGGAATTGCAATATTAAATATTAAAGCTTCAACTGGGACTCCATGGGAGTATTATGGTTATCACACTTTCAGAAGGCTGTGAAGTTCCTTGAGATGGTAAAGATGAAATTTATCAATCCAAGAGTTGAGAGATTTTGGCTACAAGGTTAGGTTGGAGAAGCTGGGTGTTGTTCTCGTTGGGGCAGAAAAGTTTGATTGGAGATTTGGTGAAATCAGGGAGGTTAAAAAAAATTTCCATTAGCTCATGGTACAACAGCGTTGGAACGTAACCTTTTGCGCTAGAAATGAAGGGAAGCAGTGTAAGGGAAAACTTTTCCCACAACAAGTGGTAATGACCTGGAGAGAGAGACAACAAGGTGCAGGGCTGGATGAACACAGCAGGCCAAGGACCTGGAACTCACTGCCTCTGAGTATGGTGGCAGCAGAGAAGTAAATAATTTTAAAAGGGTATAGGATGGTTAGTTGAGGGGAATAAAGTTATAGGATAGAGAGATAGAACAGGGAATTGGGATGTTTTAAAAATTATTCATTTACAGGATGAAGTGTTGCTGGCTAGACCAGCATTTATTGCCCATCCCTAAGTGCTGAGAGGCAGTTAAGAGTCAACCACATTGCTGTGGAGGTGGAGTTCACATTTAGTCCAGTTGAGGTAAAAATAGCCTCTTCCTTCCCAAAAGGACATTAGTGAACCAGATAGATTTTTCCACCAATGGTTTCATGGTCATCAGCTCGGTGGTTAGCACTGCTGCCTCACAGCGCCAGGAACACAGGTTCAATTCCACCCTCGGGCGACTGTCTGTGTGGAGTTTGCACGTTCTCCCCGTGTCTGTGTGGGTTTCCTCCGGGTGCTCCAGTTTCCTCCCACAGTCCCAAGATGTGCAGCCTAGGTGGATTGGCCATGCTAAATTGCCTGTAGTGTTCAGGGATGTGTAGATTAAGGGGATGGGTCTGGCTGGGGTGTCTGAGGGTCAGTGTGGACTTGTTGGGCTGAAGGGCCTGTTTCCACACTGTAGGGGATTCTCTTAGACTCTTAATTCCAGATTTTTATTGAATTTGTGCTCCACCAATGTCAGGATTTGACTCCAGGTCCTCAGAACATTAGCTGATTTTATGGATTAATAGTCTAACAATAATACCACTTGGCCATTGCCTCTGCAGGATTGAGTAGACTGCCGCCACAGACTCAATGGGCTAATTCCCCTTCCTCTGTGCCATAATGATGCTAATACAAATTTCACAAAGCATTCAAATTCTGGCTCAGAAGTAGGCCATTCAAGCCAGCATAATACTAGACATGCTCCACATGAATTTCCTTCCGCTCCCCTTCATCGAACCTTCATCAATATGTTATTCTATTCATCTCTTCCTCCTGTTCTTAACTGGCTTCCTCTTAAAATACATCAATTCTCCTTGCCTCAGCTATTCCTTGTGAAAATGACTTTCATATTCTAACCACTCTCTGGGTACAGTATTTCCCTTGAATTCCTTACTGGATTCATTAATAGCAATTTTCATTATGATCTCACCTGCAAAAGGAATCAAGCATTAAAACATGTCTTTCCAAAGCTTGACTCGCCTTTTTGTTAGGTACAAGTCTCACCTCATAATCAATATCCAGATAATCAAACTCTCCTTTGGTTCGAAAGTGCTGTGTGTGCTTATCCACAGTGAAATTCACTTGCTTGTTGTAGCGTTCGATGGTAATGGAGTGCCAATGCTGATCGTCCAGCAGACTCCCCAATGTCACTGAGGTGTGACTATTTATGGAATGCAACTTGGTGTCACCTGAAACATGAACATCCAGTTTACAGTTGCAAGATACCAATTCGACAAATTGCCCAACAAATCAAAGGAAGACATGAAGTTATTGCCTTAGATGGGAAATCCCAGCTGAGGTAGTTAATAAAATATGGGAATGGAACTGTTAAATCAATGGAAAAGACTACATTGCAACTTTTCAAATGGTGGATATCCACCTGAAACACTGAATTTTACAGGAGGATAGAGACCAATTACACAAGCAAAAAATCTTACAACATCATAGGAGACATTTCAAGATCATTGGGTCTGTAAAGCTCTTTGAAAACACTATTGATTAGACTCCCCAACTTCTTTTTTTGAAAGTTCTGCTGTTGTTGCCTTTTCAAGTTATTATTCAATTCCCCTTTGCAAGTTACTATTTTTGCTGCATTCTCCTGTCATAATTTACTGGGAAAATATTTCATCTCCTCTCCAGATCATTTGCCAATTATCTCAAATTTGTATCCTCTGAAAATGGGCCAGCCAGTGCAAATAGTTTTTCTCTCTATACTCTCACAAAGTCCATCATAATTTTGAATGTTTCAATTAAATCATTTTAAAACTCTCTGCAAGAAAGAGAATAATCAAAGTTTCTCAAGTCCCTTCATTCACTGAAATGCTTTATACCCGAAATAATTTAGGCCAGTTGCTTCCACACCCTTCTGCAAGCCCCTAACATCATTCTTATTATTTGGTGCTCGGTATTTGGATACAATAATCTTGCTAAAATCAAAACCAAAAGCTCATTAAAGTTTCGATTAATTTCCTTCTTCTTGTTTTCCAAGACACTATACGTAATACAGCAGATTCAGTATTTGCACTTTCAAGATGGCAGCAGAGTAGGAAGCTCCAGCTGGAGTTCCACTGTCTGTCAAACTCTATCCCCCTTAAAATTACAGCATGCAGCTTACTTTAGAGGGGCTTTTGTGGTGCAGTGGTAGTATCCCTTAATTTCCGAGCCTAGGTTCAAGTCCCACCTGCTTCCAGAAGTATGTAAGAGTATCTCTGAACTAGTTGATTCAAAAGTATCCATAGTTTATTTCTTTATTCCTCACTTCCAAAATGCATCACCAAATATCTCTACATTGAACTGTATCTGGCTTGTCTTTTGCACTTGTTTCCATTATCTGCTTTGCCTTTCTCTCTGCCCATTCTCAATGCACTCATTATCCACAGTCTACTTTGAACTTATCATAGATTGTACATCCAACACAGGGCAGAATTTATTGCCCCTGCAGGAGTCAGCATTGACAGCATGGGGGTCATTTGATCAAGCATGAGGGTTCAGTGGGGTCCACTTCCTTCCCAACTCCCTCTTGATCATGCTCTGGACAGGAAGAGTGGGCAGTTAACCAGTTAAGGCCCACTTCAGACCTCAACCCATTGCTAGCTGCAGGTAGGAAACCCAACATCTGAGAGACCACATCAAACTACTAATCTGATCTAGGAGCATGGATTGGAGTTGGATTTGTAGTGGTGGTAGAGTCGAAACCCAAACTCTTGCCTTTACTTTCAGAACCCCAGCCTCCTCTCCGCCTCTTTCCTGCTACCAGTGTCCCTGAGCACACTCTCGTGTCTGCATGCATTCAGTGTCCATCCCTGGATGCAGTACAGGGTGGCACTGCTGGTATTAGAGAGCTGTGGGTCTCTCAAAGGGCTGCAGCTCTTAGGGACATTATTCCCACCTGCCTGGCGATTAATTCGAAGGGAATCCTGGTCCTGTCTAAGTATGTGTCAACTGCTTTGAAATAGTGTTGTATCTCCACAAGAAAAGCAAATAAGGGTCCTCTAGCCAGTGTGCTGTCCCACTATCGCCACCTGTAGTCTCTGCCCATTGTTTCTGACTTGGGCACTTCATGTCCTAACAGCTGTCTATGTAAATATAAAAGATTTTTCCATCTTTCCCTTCACTGTTTTGATCATAATATCAAATCAATGAACTTTATTAAATAATGGACTTGGTTTGTCCCAATCTACCTTATTATGACTCACAATTTTGAACTTTCAGCTATTTTTCTCTGTCCAATATAGAGATTGCATTTTCTAACCATGCCCTCCAAGCTGCGGGTGAACATATGAAACAAGTCCTTGCCATCCACAAACTTTCGTTTTTGATGATTGCATTGAGATCCAAGTTTTCACTGAAGGTTAGGCAGGTTAGTATGTCATTTTACCCTTCACTTAAGTCTTGCTGCCCAGTGATATATTTGACCGCTTACCATATCCATGCACAATATGGATTTCACGATACAAGTCTCTCCCTCTCAGTCTCTCCCTCCCTTTTTCTTGAAGCACTTCAAATTTGTCCTATTCTACTCCTTTCTCCTTTGAAATCTTAATTGTCCATTCCTTCTTGTGGAACCTTATTTGTAGTTTCTTACGTAGATACATCCACACAACTTTAATCATCTTAGCTCCAACACAAAAAATAAAATCCACACTCCTCACCTCTTTAGGGACTTTACAGGGTAGATGCAGAAACGTTACTTCCCTGGTTAAACAGTTTAGGACCAGAGGATGTAACCTCAGAATAAGGTTTATTTTAAGACAGAAATGAGGAGGAATTTTCTTTTTTCAGAGGGTAGTGGATCTGTAGAATTCTTTACCACGAAGGGCTATCAAGGTTAGATTATTATGTACATTCAAGATTGAGCGACACAGATTTTAAACCAGTAAGGGAACCAAGAGTTATCAGGAAAAGGCAGGAATTGAAAATTATCAGTGCAGTCATGATCTCATTGTTTGGTGAAGACTTGATGGGCTGAGTGGCCTACTTCTGTTTCTATATCTAATGATCTTATCGTCTTATCTATCCTTATACATTCTCTTTTTTTCACAGTGTTTCACATTCCATTCATTTAATTTTGCACTTTGCAATGACATCTGTAACTTCAAACAATAGAAGTTCATCACTAAAACTAATTCCTGGTAGCCCTCTCCTTTCCTGCCGTATCTTACTCATGATATAAAACAATATTTGCAAACCCAACTGGCCAGTCTTTTACCCTGCTCATTCATCACAATACTTCTGCAATCATTGATTTAATCATGACCACGTTCATAATTTTTATACTTGTTCCAGAAAAATCCTTATACTCTCCCAAGATGATAATTTCCCCAACATCACTACATTTAGTCCAATGGTTGCAGATATTAAGGTATTTTGTACTCAACAGTTTTGGCCATCCATCATGCAGATGTCTATCTTTGTATGATAGAATTAGGCCTCCCTCTTCTATGCAGAAACTTTGTACTTCCCCAAGGTTAGCATCTAAATAAGGATAACCATTGGATTCTTCCCTCCACAACTAACTATCTCTATAACACCTCTCCCATGGCTACTTTAACTGCATGTCCAAAAACATGTTTGCCGTCTTCCTTGTCATGAAGTGGGAATCATCCATTCAGCTGCCTCTGTTGCTTCCCTTTATCCTCTGGTATATCAACCTAATCTTGGCATATCCATCTTCACCTGAACCAGCACCACTGTAAATCCAACTGAATTGGCCTTGCATATTTATGGTTATAAGGAATATATAATGTTATTTTTCAAAATAGTTTATTTCACTCGCTGTTATTGTGCAAAAACTCTGACTGCAGAGCTTTTATTTGCTATAGGTTTATTTCTCTGAAGCTATTCAGCTTGAATTTCTCCCTTAGAAAGTTGATTTGTATATAAAATGTAAAGTTGCCATGTCTTACCAGACCTAGGGCTGAGAAAGAAAATTGGTTTAACCTGAGGGTCACCATACATCAGGTGAGGGGAAAGGTTGAGGAGGACAGCCTTACAATGGTAACCTTAGCTTGTACATGAATTGAACCCACTCTGTTGTCATCACTCCACATTGCAAACTGCCCCATACTTAAATGAATCTTAAACTCTAACTAGCTCCTACATCACACAACAAAATAAAAAAAGGAGCCCAGTGAGGAATGACATATAGAATTATATTCCATCAACTTTCAACAAAATATCACAGAAAATCTTCAAGCCATTGACAATAACTTATTGATAGTAGTTATGAGCAACTAAGCCACCAGATCATCAGAAGGGAGAAGCAATAAACCTGCAAACACAAGGAAATGTTCAATCTTTGGTTATCCTAACGGAGGTGCTAGACCTCTGATGAAAGGAAATGTTTAGTACTTCTTTCCTATTCTCAACTACAATTATGTGTTTGCTCTAAGTCCATTTTGTGACTGTAATGTCGCAGATTTTACAGTGCCACCCCAGAATTAAGGCAATTGCTCCATGTCTTGTGGTTTTCCTTCCATGATGCCCTTTGTCCCCTACTTTTGAAACAGTTACTCAAAGACTGCCTGGAAACGTTTCCTTGTCATTGTCCGAAAATCTTTGATTCTTGCATTGACTGCAGCACACACGTTTTAATCCCTCATCATTGCCCGCTGCTATGGTCCGAAACGTACTGGTCTCAACAGCCCGTGTCCCTTGCCCTTGATCTGCTCCCACCACCTCGCCAGCACACCAAATCCCAGCCTTCTCCCGCTCAGCACCTCTCTGGTTCCAATATTAATTTAAACTCTACCCATTCACAACAAAAACAAACCATGCTGGAGAAACGCAGCATGCCTGGCAGCATCTGTGAACAGAAAACACAGTTAACGTTTTGAGTTCAGTGAGCCTTTATTAGAATGATCCCTTTCCTTAGGTATTGCCCTCATCGCCTTCAAAATTAACATCACCCACTCTGTCTTCAAAAATTTCCACTCGTCTTCCTTCTTTCTTTGAAAAATTCAATCCCATTGATAACTTCTTTTAATCATTCCTGTCTTGCACAAAAAATAAACTGGAAAGATATTTGATAAAAGCCCACTTGAGAGATTAGTATTGAAATGTAAAGCACATGGGATTGTGCTAGTGTATTGACATGGATTGAAAGCTAGCTAGCAGAAAGGAAATAAGGACTACGAATAAACATGTAATTTTCTATGTGGCTGGCAGTGACTCCGTGGGGGTACTTCAGGGATCAGTGCTTGCACCCCTGCAATTCACTATATATGTGAATGATTTAGATGAGGGAACTATATATGTGAATGATTTAGATGAGTGGACATTGCTGGCTGGGCCAGCATTTATTGCCCGTCCCTAGTTGCCTCTAAGAATTTGGTGGTCAGCTGCCTTCTTGAGCCGCTGTAGTCACTGTGCTGTAAGTTGGCCCGCAATATTTTTAGAAACGGAATTCCAGGATTTTGACCCAGCGACAGTGGAGGAATCTTTCCAAGTCAGGATGGTGAGTGGTTTGGAGGGGAACTTGTAGTTGGTGGTGTTTTCAAGTCCTTCTAGATAGAAGTAGTCATGAGTTTGGAAGGTGGATAAATGTGAGGTTATCCATTTTGGAACCAAAAACAAGAAGATGATTATTATATGAATGGCAATAGATTGGGAGAAGTGGAGGTTCAAAGAGACTTGGATGTCCTTGCACAACAGTCACTGAACGTAAATATACAGAAGTAGCAGACGGTGAAGAAGGAAAATGGTATGTTATCCTTCATAGTGAGAGGACTCGAGTCGAGAAGCAAAATGTCTTGCTGCAATTGTGTAGGACCCTGATAAGGCCACATCCAGAATATTTGTGCAGGATTTGGCCTCCTTATGTGAGCAACAAATTTCTGGCTGTGGAGGGAGTGCAACAAAGGTTTACCAGACTGATTCCTGGGCTAGCAGAACTAATGTATGAACTGAGACTGGATTATATTTACAGTAGTTTAGAATAATAATAATAATAGAATAAAATTTTGACACAACTAGACAGGGTAGATGCAGGACGCATTTTTCCAAGGCCCAGCACCAATCACAGTCTAAGAGTACAGGGTAGGCCAATTATGATGACATGAGTAGAAATTCTTTCAACCAGGGGGTGGTGAGCCTGCAAATTCTCTGCTACAGAAAGTGTTTGAGGTGAAAACATTGAATGATTTCAAGATGAAAATAGATATAATTCCTGGGTCTAAAGGGATCAAAGGGTAGATTGAAAGTGGGAACAGGGTACTAAGTAGGAAGATCAGCCTTGATCATGACAGAACAGGCTCAAAGGGGGCAAATGGCCTACTCTTGTTCCTATCCTTAATGTTTCTGTGTGATGGTTTGTCACTTTGCAGATCCATGGTCTACATTTCCACAATTTTGGGTTTGAATCTTATCCATAATGCTTACTCTCCACTAATATAAATGAATGTAACCAATGCCAACGAAATGAGCTCCTTGACAGACATAAGGTAGTGTGAACCCAACTGCACACCCTTATCATCATTAACTTCAAGACTTTCTCAAGATTGATTCCATGTCCTTCTGCTTCTCCAACTGTATTTTGCATTTCTGGGTATATTATGGGACTATAGTTCATTACTTTTGCTAGTTTAGGTATTTAAATGCTTACCTAAATTGATCTGCAGTGAGAGTTTGCCTTTCATTAGCTCCAGTGTAATACGATCTCCCCGTTGTCCTTCTCCATGCAACATAACTCCGTCGCTTTGCATCGTTTTGAATTTTAAGGAAATTATGTCCTTGACCGTGCTCATGCTCTTTTGATGGAACCTGTAAAGTAGTGAACTTCTGCCATCAAAGTCGGCAACATCAGATTCTATAGGGGAAGAAAAAGTGTTAAGGTCACATTTCGAAAAGTTTCTCAATGCCTCAAAGCAAAATTGAGATCAAATTTCCATGTGCTATCAGTTGCTATAACTTAAGCTGAAAAATCCAGATAAACCCTGAAGAAACAGTATAAAATATAATCGTCTGGATTTCTGGGGATCTTCAATAGAAGTCACAGAAATTGTTTAGAGAACACCTGCAATAAATCAGCTCCAAGCATCAGAAATTATTAATTTATTTCCACTTACAGCATTCTGACACCTGATCGCAATGGGACTGAGACACCTTCTTTAACTTCACTTCTCTGCCGAGATTGGATTTGAGGACATTGCCAGATAATGACCATCTCCAACAAGCGTGAAAATAAGCATCTCCTGTCAACATTCAATAGGATTACTATTGCTGAATTCCCCTACTATTAATATTCCACTTACTTGAAACTGAATTGGAACAGCCATATGAATACAATGACTACCTCAGCAGATTGGAGCTGAGCATTTTGCGGTTCCCTGATGCCTATCCACCACATACAAGATTAAAGTGTGTTTGAAACACTCTCCACTTGTATGGATGAGTGCCGCTCCAACAATAGTCAAGTTTGACATTATTGAGGACAAAACAGCCTGATTGGTTGGCACAGAAGCAGCCACGAGTACACTAAACAAAATGTACTGCAGAAACCTGCCAACCACCCCAAAATCACAACTTTTCACCAAGAAGGACATGGGTAGAAGATGCATGAGGACACTACCACTTACAACGCCCCTGCAAGCTACACATTCTCCTGACCCAGAACTATATTATCATTTCTTTAAAGTCATTGGGTCAAGATCCTGGCTCAATGAACAGTGCAAGTGGATATATCAGGAACACTGTAAGTCATGCCTAAAATAAGAAGTCAAACTTATGAAGCTTCAACACAGGATTGCTTGCATAAACAGTCGTGTAAGCAGCTTATGATAGATAGTACAACCAATGGATCAGATCTTAGCTCAGAAGTCTTGCTTTGAACATTGATGGACAATTAATCAACTCACAACAGAAGGAATGTCCACTAGTATTTCAATTCTCAATGATTGGGGGGCCTAGCATATCTGTGCAAAAGACAGGGCTTAAGTATTTGCATCTCTCTTCAGCCAGAAATCCAAATTGAACTATACATCTTTGCTTCTTCCTGAGGTACTGAGTATGACAGATTGGCTTCAGCTAATTCAATTCACTCCACATAATATCGAAAAAATGACTGATGGCATTGGATGTGGTAAGGCAATGGGCCCTGACGGCATTCTGGCAATAGTACTGAAGACTTGAGCTCCAGAAGAACTTGCACTCCTAACCAAGCCATTTATGCACAGTCACATCATCTACTCATCAATATTGATATCTTTCCAGGTATGTCCTGTCCACAAAAAGTATAACAAATCCAACCCAGCCAATTATTGCCCATTCAGTGTACTTTCAATCATTGGTACCCTGAAGAAAATGGTCACTATCAATTGGCATTTACTCAAAAATAAGATGCTTATTGATACTCAAACTGAATTCTATAAGGGTCACTCCGGATCTGACCTCATTACAAGCTAAGCCGATAAATGGACAAAAACTCAAGAAGGGAACTGAGGGTGACTGCCCTTTACATCAAAGCTGCATTTAATTGAGCATTTCATCAAGGATTCACAGCAAAACTAGAGATGAGGGGAATCAGGTGCAAAAATGTTAACAAGTGGAATCAAAGTAAGATGATTGTGCTGATCATTGTGCCATTATCAGCAAACATTCCCACTTCTGACCTTATGATGGAGGGAAGATCATTGACAAAGCAACTGAAGATGGTTGGGCCTCAGACGTTACCCAGAGAAACTCCTGCAGTAACGTTTTGTACTTGAGACAATTGTCTTCCAACAACGGCAATTTGTGAATCATTGGAACTTGAGGCAGTCCATGCCCAAATGCAGCAAGACCAGGAGAATACTAAGGTTTGTGCTGACAAATAGTAAGGTCAGAAATCAGATAACACCAGGTTATAGTTCAACAGGTTTATTAAAAACACAAGCTTTCAGAGTCTTACTCCTTCTTCAAGTGTAAGTGAGAGAAATAGTATCAGCCACAGAATTTATAAGTAAAATTTCAAAGGGTCACACCACCAATGAGGATGTAATAAACAAACTAAAGGTGCTGTTAAATCTTTAATCAGTTAGAAGGTTTTAATTGATTAGCATGTATACGTAAATCCCTGAATTCCTTTGAAGTCACTGTCGTGAGAGAACTAAAGGTTTTATCAGTTCAAAGAAGAGTTGACATTTTAGGTCACCCACGGACCAGTTGAATCAGGAACATTCCTCATCACAATGGACGTTTCGGCACTCTACACCAGCATCGCCCACGACGACAGCATCGCTGCAACGGCTTCAGTACTCGACACCAACAACTGCCAATTTCCAGACACCATTCTACAACTCAGAGATAGTAAGAAATGCTGACGCTGGAGTCAGAGATAATACCGTGTGGAGCTGGGGGAGCACAGCAGGCCAGGCAGCATTAGAGGAGCAGGAAAGTTGATGTTTCAGATTGGGACCCTTCTTCAGAAAAGTTGGAAGACAATTGAAGAAGAGTCCTGACCCGAACCATCAACTTTCCTGCTCCTCTGATGCTGCCTGGCCTGCTGTGCTCCTCCAGCATCACACTGTGTCACCATTCTACAACTCATCTGTTTCATCTTCGACCATAACATCTTCATCTTCGACAAATGTTCTTCATCCAGATACATGGAACAGCCATGGGGACCAGATTTATTCCCCAATATACCAACATTTTCATGCATAGGTTCGAACAAGACCTCTTTGCTGCGCAGAATCCCAGACTAATGCTATACACCAGATGCATTGATGACAGTTTCTTCCTTTGGACTCATGGCGAGGAACCAACTGAAACAACTACATTGCAATATCAACACGTTTCATCCCATCATCAGACTTACCATGGACTACAATTTAGAATCAGTCTTATTCTTGGACACACACATCTCCATCAAGGACGACACTTCTGTACCTCACTCTATCACAAGCCCATGGATAACCTCATGATGCTGCATTTCTCTAGGTTCCATCCTCAACATATTAAAACAGTCATCCCCTAAATACAAGCCCTATGCAAACACAGGATCTGTTCGGATTAGCAGGAACAAGAACAGACACCTGAAGGTGTTGAAGGATGCCCTCATAGGAACAGGATATGATGCTCAACTCATTTATCACCAGTGCTGACGGTGCCACAGTGAAAAACCGTAATGATCTCCTCAGAAGACAGACACGTGATACATCCAATAGGGTACACTTTGTCGTCCAGTACCTTCCAGGAGCGGAGAACATAGAACATAGAACATAGAACATAGAACATTACAGCGCAGTACAGGCCCTTCGGCCCTCGATGTTGCGCTGACCTGTGAAACCAATCTGAAGCCCATCTAACCTAAACTATTCCATTATCATCCATATGTTTCTCCAATGACCATTTAAATGCCCTTAAAGTTGGCGAGTCTACTATTTTTGCAGGCAGGGCATTCCACGCCCTTACTACTCTCTGAGTAAAGAACCTACCTCTGACATCTGTCCTATATCTATCACCCCTCAATTTAAAGCTATGTCCCCTCGTGCTAGCCATCACCATCTGAGGAAAAAGGCTCCCACTGTCCACCCTATCTAATCCTCTGATCATCTTGTATGTCTCTATCAAGTCACCTCTTAACCTTCTTCTCTCTAACGAAAACAGCCTCAAGTCCCTCAGCCTTTCCTCATAAGACCTTCCCTCCATACCAGGCAACATCCTGGTAAATCTCCTCTGCACCCTTTCCAATGCTTCCACATCCTTCCTATAATGCGGTGACCAGAACTGTACGCAATACTCCAAGTGCGGCCGCACCAGAGTTTTGTACAGCTGCAACATGACCTCATGGCTCCGAAACTCAATCCCTCTACCAATAAAACCTAACATACTGTACGCCTTCTTAACAAGGCTATCAATCTGGGTGGCAATTTTCAGGGATCTATGCACATGGACACCGAGATCTTTCTGCTCATCCAGACCACCAAGAACCTTACCATTAGCCCAGTACTCTGTATTCCTGTTACTCCTTCCAAAGTGAATCACCTCACACTTTTCCACATTAGACTCCATTTGCCACCTCTCAGTCCAGCTCTGCAGCTTATCTATGTCCCTCTGTAACCTGCAACATCCTTCCGCACTATCCACAACTCCACCAACTTTGGTGTCATCCGCAAATTTACTAACCCATCCTTCTACGCCCTCATCCAGGTCATTTATAAAAATGACAAACAGCAGTGGCCCCAAAACAGATCCTTGAGGTACACCACTAGTAACTGAACTCCAGGATGAACATTTCCCATCAACCACCACCCTCTGTCTTCTTACAGCTAGCCAATTTCTGATCCAAACTGCTAAATCACCCTCAATCCCATGCCTCCGTATTTTCTGCAATAGCCTATCATGGGAACGTTATCAAACGCTTTACTGAAATCCATATACACCACATCAACCGCTTTACCCTCATCCACCTGTTTGATCACCTTCTTAAAGAACTCAATAAGGTTTGTGAGGCACGACCTACCCTTCACAAAACCGTGTTGACTATCCCTAATCAAATTATTCCTTTCTAGATGATTATAAATCCTATCTCTTATAATCCTTTCCAACACTTCACCCACAACCGAAGTAAGGCTCACTGGTCTATAATTACCAGGGTTGTCTCTACTCCCCTTCTTGAACAAGGGGACAACATTTGCTAGTCTCCAGTCTTCTAGCACTATTCCTGAAGACAATGACGACATAAAGATCAAAGCCAAAGGCTCTGCAATCTCCTCTCTAGCTTCCCAGGGAATCCTAGGATAAATCCCATCCGGCCCAGGGGACTTATCTATTTTCACACCTTCCAGAATTGCTAACACCTCCTCCTTATGAACTTCAATCCCGTCT